GTAAAAGAAAATGAATTTGAATGAAATTTTGTCTAGCTCCAAAATTTATATTCTCCTCTACCCAAAGACAAAGAACCACCTATCTGGAACCCTTTTCTAGAATGCTAGAAAAGTAGGTGGTGGATCTATAAAACCAATGACTGAACCTTCAATTGCAGTGCAGCCCCTGTGGGACTCTGGGTGGCTTATAGAGCCTCTCTGAACCTCAGTTTTCTCATCTGTTAAATAGAAGTAACAGTACTAATTCACAAGGTTATTGTAAGGATGGCCAATGGCATGGGCTGTTAATGTCTCTGCCAGTTGTAGTGCACGAATAGCTTCCTTCTGCCTCATAGGTAATGTTTCTTTGTTGATCAAAGGCAGACTGTGTCCTGGTTTGAAGTAAACCCACCCCTCCATCTTCAGCATGAGTTCTGTAGTGGATACTTTCCACTCTTCTATGAGGATCAAAAGAGTTACCTTTCTTGGGAGTTTTAATCCCACCCAAGGATTTAACCCAGAGTGAATTAACTATGACATTTTTCATCACTAGGGGCAGCTCCTACTAACAGCTTTTTAATTCTGGATTCTAAGTGGTAGTAATGGCCATATCTTCTTTAGAGTGGAGAGGATTCTGACTCGGCCTTGAGAAGACACTTCTCTGAAGATGGGAAAATTCATCCATAAACCCTGCATTTGTAGATCAAGACCCTCCGATCACATTAAGTGATGAAAGTTCTAAGTAACTGGTCTAAGTTCTAAGATGTCAGTGTACTCTGTCTTAACTATTGGGAAGGAACACCTGAGTCAAAATGCAATTCTCTTTCAAAGCAGGAAAAACATATTGAATAGATAGAAATAGAAAGCATTAGAAGGGTAGGGTTTTTCATTGGTGACTCCAATTTGGGGAAATTATAAATTACATGGTTCAGAGTCTACCATGTGGAACAACCTATAGAGAGATGCCATTTCTGGTGTTGTCAGATAAGATACAGAAAAGACTGACATCGCATGGGACATACTTAAACGATCACTCTTGTTTATCTGAGTTAAAGGTTTAACTGGACATCCTGTATCTCCTATATTTTATTCACTGAATCTGGCAACTCAAGGCCTTATTGAACACTGACTGCTCTCTGCAGCAAGTCAGGGAGATGAACCCCTGGGGAGTCTTCCAAGGGTGCAGATTCTAGAATCAGACAGCCTGTGTTCAAACTGGACTTTACACCACAGCTCCGTGAGCTTGGGCAAGTTGATGGTTTTTGTTGAGCTTCTGTTCCCTCGTCTCTGAAATGGAGCCAGGAAGAGCACTTTTCCTAAAATTACCCCCAGGGTTCAATGTGTCCAGTAAACACCCGTTGAGCACTTGCTGAGACTCCGTTTCTGTGCCCTCATAGTAAGGGGCGAGAGCAGGCCGTGGCAGAGTCAAGTAAGAAAGAACAGAGCAGGTTAAAAGGCTGGGGACGTGCTGTTTCTCTCGGGTTTGTGTGTCTGTGAAGTGACCTCTAGCGGAGACTCAAATGACCTGGGGGAGCCAGCGGGTTGTGTTTGAAGGAAGCCACTTCCCGACAGAGAAGGGGCTGCCGCACGGGCCCGGGCTGGCAGTGGGGCTGCCGTAATGTCCAGGGGAGCAGCAAGAGCCCGCTGTGCCTGAGGCCGTGAGAAAGGGTATTGGCAGCTGACCAGCGAGGCGGCTGAGGGAGGGGGAGTGGTGTAGGGCTTGGAATCACTGCGGAGACTTGGAATTTGACTCCTGGTGAACTGTGAAAACGCTGTAGTTGTGAGCAAGGGGGTGGTGTCAAGGCTCAGAAGGACCACTTCTCAAACCATTTCCCAGGTGGCTTAGTGGTAAAAAGAAAAAAAAATCTCCCTGCCAATGCAGGTGGTGTGCATTCAACCCTGGGTTGGGAAGATCCCCTGGCAACCCACTCCAGTATTGTTGCCTGAAGAATCCCATGGACAGAGGAGCCTGGTGGGTTACAGTCTATGGGGCCACAGAAGTCAGACACAACTGAGCGACTGGACGTCACACACACACACATGCACACACACACACATGCTTACTTGCCATCCGCCTCTACAAGGATTAAATCGTGAGCTGCTGCAGCTGCTGACAACTGGACATCACACACACACACACGCACACACTCACTTGCCATCCGCCTGGACGTGGCGCACACACACACACTTGCATCCGCCTCTACAAGGATTAAATCGTGAGCTGCTGCAGCTGCTGATGACTGGACATCACACACACACACACACACATACACACACACACAAACTTGCCATCTACCTGGACGTCACACACGCACACACGCACACTTGCCATCCGCCTGGACGTGGCGCACACACACACACTTGCATCCGCCTCTACAAGGATTAAATCGTGAGCTGCTGCAGCTGCTGATGACTGGACATCACACACACACACACACACATACACACACACACAAACTTGCCATCTACCTGGACGTCACACACGCACACACGCACACTTGCCATCCGCCTGGATGTGGCGCACACACACACACTTGCATCCGCCTCTACAAGGATTAAATCGTGAGCTGCTGCAGCTGCTGACCTTCAACACCTGGAAGGAGTTCAGGGTGGAGAGCAGAAATGAGGCGCTCTGTGCTCTGGAAAACTGGCAAAACAGGTCAGATATTTTCAGGAGCTCATCTTAGGAGCCCAATTCGTGCATCTCGTATCTAGAAAAGCACTAAACTCCATCACGGTGGTGTCTAACTCCACATGACTTTATAACCTTTATGAGACTAGCAGAAACTTTCTGCAGAAAATAAATGCTTGATTGCACGTACTCCCCCTTCACCGAAATCAGATATGCTGGCCTTCCCCTGCCTCTTGGGAGCAGTTTCTCAGAGCTATCTGCAATGTTGTCTCCCGGCTATAGCCCTCATTTTGTACCCAGTTAAACTTAACTCTCAACTGTCACATTGTGTGTGTGCGTTTTAAGCCTCTGAGAGAGACAATAGTGGTTTGGACCAGGGTGTGAACAATAGAGGTGGTAAACAGTGAGGGGAATCCCTAGGATGTAGGTGTGTAGAGGTCTAAAGACTGAGCCCTGGACCTGCCCAGGGATTCAAGATAGAGAGGGTGTGCAGAGGAGACAGAAAAGGAGTAGCTGGTAAGGCATAAATAGAACCAGGAGAAAGGGATTAAATGGAATTTAAACAAAACAAAATTTGTGCCGAGCACTTAATCAGTTTGTAAGTTTTAGCTCTTGTGTTTGTTGGAACACAGGTAAGGCTATTGTAACCATAGGCCCCAAAATAGAGTTAAGACAGAAATTCAATTTTCTCTTGCTTTGGGTATGCTTATGGAGTTCAGGACTCATGTGGAGCTCAATGGCATCAGGGACCCAGGCTCTTTCCAATCCACTCTTTTTTTAAATTTATTTTTTAATTGAAGGATAATTGCTTTACAGAATTGTGTTGGTTTCTGCCAAACATCAACATGAATCAGCCTTAGGTGTACATATGTACCCTCCCTCTTGAACCTCCTTCCCACCTCCCTCCCCATCTAATCCACTCTTGAGAAAAGTCTTATCCACACAGGAAGGAGATAGGATGGGTGTGCCTCTTTCCTTTAATGGGCACTCAAGAGCTGACTCACTGGAAAAGACCCTGATGCTGGGAAAGATTGAGGGCAGAAGGAGAAGCGGGGACAGAGGATGAGGTGGTTGGATGGCATCATCGACTCAATGGACATGAGTTTGAGCAAACTCCGGGAGATAGTGAAGGACAAGGAAACCGAGAGTGCTGCAATCCTTGGGGTCACAAAGAGTACCTGAACAACAACATCACTTCTACTCACATCCTATTGGCCAGAATCTAGTCACCTAGCACAACAAGCTGCAGGGGACGCTGGGAAATGTAGTCTTTTGCTTAGCATCTGGGTACTCGCTGAAATTTTGAATTCTCTGCATGCAGGGAGAACAGACATACGGATATTGATGAGCCAACTTCCAGTCTGTGTGACAAGCATAATTTCAAAGTCAGTGCTCTCTGTCTATGCCAACAGTATTCTTAAACTCAAGGGGAATTTCTCAGGCCCCTGATTGTCACTTACTTTTCAGATTGCTTCATCTTTTTCTGTTGTAAAATGTTACACCATAACTTCCAAAAGCAAAACAAGTCCCCCAAATCCACTTTTATTTTGAAATCATTATAGATTTATAAGAGGTAGCAAAGGAATGTAGAGGGAAGTCATATGCATTTCCTCTCCAAGACTCCTCCTCCCCAGTGCTAACATCTCAAACATTCAGGCAATGCCAGGCTTCTTGGGTTGGGAAAGGTAGCTAGTCCTGAGTGTCTGCCATCGAGAGACAAATGCTATTGAGCTAGAGATCAGAACAGGAAGCCACACTCCAACATTTCCAACAACCTCCCAGTTGAGTAGTTGACTTCATACACTTCCTTTCTTCCTGTCAAGAAAGTTCTTCCTTGCATGGATTATTTCATCCACAAAGGGTCCCTATAGCCTTACTTAACCCTCTCTTTTCTTATGAACTGGGCTTCCCTGGTGATTCAGATGGTAAAGAATTGCCTGCAATGCAGGAGACCCAGGTTCAATGTGTGTGTCAGGAAAATCCCCTGGAGAAGGGAATGGCTACCCACTCCAGGATTCTTGCATGGAGAACTCCATGGACAGAGGAGCTGGTGGGCTACAGTCCATGGGGTCACAAAGAGTCAAACACAACTGAGCAACACTTTCACTTTTTTTTTCCCATATGAACTGTTGATTTGAGAAAGACTAATTTGGCTTTGAGATTTACTTCAACGCTAAGAAACATGAGAATTTTCTGTTATTTATTTAAGATTGTTAAATGGCTTCAAAATAAACAAAGGATATACAGTAAATGATGGTATAGTCTAAGAGCCCTATCATTTGGCAAGAAATTTCTCCTGGTGTCAGGATTTGTCTCCATTGGTCCTGCAGACATGACACCAAGTACTCCAGCAGATTTCTCAGAAATACCAATATTGTTTTTTTTCCAGAAATTTGGAACTATCCGGGCGGATTTGATTGAGCAGATGAGATTTAAACAGAGACTAAAGGTGATCCAGACGCTGGAAGATACTACAAAACGGAATGTGGTGAGTCTCTTGAGAAATGGCATGTGGCTTTCTTTTTCCACCCTTCCTTATATCCCCACTGACTCCAATTCCTGCTTGACAGACTAAGCAGATTTGAAAGAAGACAATCAGGCAGTTTCCCATTATGATATTTTTGAGTTTGTGAAAGTCACTGTGTTATTCTTTTTATATAAGGTACGAACCATTGTGACTGAAACGTCCTTTACCATTGATGAACTAGAAGAACTGTATGCTCTTTTCAAGGTGAGTTTCAAAGAAAATTCATGTACACTGAAGGGAGTAAAAGAGTTCACTTTTTTTTTTTTAATTTTTGACTGTGCTGGGTCTTCATTGCTTTGTGGGCTTTTCTTTAGTTGGTGGGTGGGGCTCCTCTCTGGTTGTGGTATAAGGGCTTTTCTCTGCGCTCGCTTCTCTTATGGAGCACAAGCTCTAGGGCACTTGGACTTCAGTATTTGCAGCTCCCCACTCTAGAGCACGAGCCCAAGAATTGTGCACAGTCTCAGCTTCTCCAAGACATGTGGGACCTTCCCAGACCAGGGACTGAACCCATGTCTCCTGCATTGGCAGGAGAATTCTTTACCACTGAGCCACCAGGGAAGCCCAGGAGTTCACTCTAATAATTCAGTTAGTTCCTAGATTTTTCTGTTAAATTGTGAAGGGATAGCATGAGTGTCAACAAGCTTCAATAGGAAGATGGAGTTGAGTATAAAAATAGAGTACTTAATATGAAAAATAAAGATAATTTATTTAAATTGATGTTTTAGCCTTCCACTTCATGTGGTATTTTCACTGTTTCCTTGGACTTAAGAAAATAAGGTGTTACTTTATAATACTCAATGGAATGATGGCAATCAAGTTTAAATTATTTTTGAAACTTCTGTAAATTTTAATTTCTTATATTAATCTATGTTCAAGCACCCTTAAGAAGAGATATGTAGCTGGAATAAGAATAAAGCTGCTTGAATGTCTAAGGGAAAGCCTAGTTGTTTAAATTTCTGTGATTTTTCTAAGTCAACCCACGATCCTGAATAAGGAAATATTGTCATTAAATGAAGCAGTGTAGAATTGTTTTTCTTCTAGGGAAAAAAAAAAACCACTTTTGTTGTAACTATCATTACCAACATCATAGGTAAAAAATGTGACAATTGCCAGGAAAAAGTTTTAAAGGATGCCCTTTGCACAGGTACCAATTTTATCACAATCTCTAATTGGCTAGTTTTTTGTATAGTATAGAGCTTTTATTTCCAGAACTAAAGATAATTGAGGATGGCAAAGATGATATAGGAATGAACAGAAGGGGCAAACATAAAGATCTGAGTTGGACACTAGTAGATCTTACGATCAGACGGAGAATGTGAGAGCTGAGAATATTTTTGCTAATATTCCCATTTACCTGTTAGCTACTGGAGGCTTTTAAAAAAAATACCACCGTTTTATTTATTTCTGTTTCTCTAGTATCTAGTTTCGTGTCCCTGCCCAGTAGGTGTTCCAAACATGTGTGTTGAATACATAGGTGATTCAGTGATCCGTTTTCAGTGATCCGTTTTCAGTGCATGCTTCTGAGGCAGGCACAGAGAGGTTGATGGCTTTGTGTGGTCCCGCAGTTTGGGCAACAGCGCCCCCAGCAGGCTGCATTCAGCACTTAACGGTGCAGTCTTAAGCATGTGCCATCTCATTAGTCTTTTATTCAGATATGTAAAGCACTGTGCCTAATTGCTCCATGTTAAGTTGGTTTTCCATAAGGAGGGAATTCCTCTTCATTTCGTAGAGGGAAACATACAATGATCCAACTTGGATTGAAAGAAAAAAATACAATGATCCAATTGAGATCAGACTGGAAGAAATCTGCTTTACAGAGTGGGGGTGGGGGACGGGTAGGGCCAGGATGTAGGGTAACTATGCAGAAGTGGGGAGTAGCAGCTAGAGGCAGCAAGACCGTGCACAGGTACCGGGAAGGGCTGTGAGATTCCAAAGAGGAGGCTGACTTTGGGGCACACCCGAAGAGGAAGACCAGGGCTGGCTGTGCAGAAGTCCAAGATGCTGAGATCACTGACGCTGTATCTTCTTCCCTGGGGACCCCTGCCCTCTACGATCTGGGCACCTCCAGTACCAGGCGTGTCATTTGTACACCAAGGATACTGCCTGAGGAAAGCTCTCCTTACACTCCAGAACCCTGCCGTCAGCTGTGTTGGCAAACAGGAGTTCCGCAAGTCTTCTGAGAGCCCCAAGAGAGAGCCTGACACCCTCGGTTGGTGTCAGGGATGAGAAGGATTCTCGGGTACTCAGTTCGGTTCAACCACTCAGTCGTGTCCAACTCTTTGCAACCCCATGGACTGCAGGATGCCAGGCTTCCCTGTCCTTCACCATCTCCCGAAGTTTGCTCAGCCTCATGCCTATTGAGTCGGTGATGGCAACCCAAGACAAAGACTTCAGATAAGGACTCTTTCTTGAGTTTTTGAACACTTTTCATTGGCTTCCATTCATCTGCACAAACATTTATTGAGGTATTACCATGTCAGGCACACTGCCAGACTCTTCAGTCTTTTATGAAGTCAATTTCTGGGGGATCTCCTTCAGATACAAAGGAAAGAGACATTTGTTTCCCACAGTTTTCTGCTTGGGCTTTGGGCTAAACTTGGTAGAAAAAGGTGAAGACTGACGCCCTGAGGCAGATTTGGTAGAAAATGTGATTCGCGGCCCCTGGGCCTTACTTGAACTCTTTGTAAATTAGTCCTTTTTCAGTCTTGGGTCCCTAGTGCCCAAATGATGGAGTAGGGGGTCTCATCAAAGGAGAGGGATATGGTCTGTGTGACTTGCCATTTCCTAGTGGCTGTGAGCACCATGAATGTGCCTGCAGCACACTCAGGCCCAGTTCTAGAGGAACATGGGTGCTTTAGTTAGGAGGCAGTGCTTTGGGTAACCTTTATCCACTGATGGAGCTCCGGTAAAAGGGGACCGTTCCTGTGGGGCCGTATCACTAACTCCTTCCTGCCCACGGGGCTGCTGGGCATGACGTCGGAGTACAGCTCCACCCGGGGCACCCCTCGAACCTCAGCCTCTGCCTCCCTCCCCCAACCTCACCATCATCACAGTGCTCCTCTACTCCGCCCCACCCAACCCCCGCCAGCCGGCAGCACTTGAGTGCAGCCCCCAAGCCTAGTGGACTTGACACACTTCCTTTATTCTCCCAAAGCTGCCCTGAGACACCTCTCCTTCCTCCTCTCTTGCCTACTCCCACTCCTCTCTTTGCTGGATTAGTAGCTACAATTCCCAGGAAACAGTGAGGACAAAGACACTGGTCTTTGCTCTGTTCTAAGTGAGAACAACACTGAAGTACTGCACACTCACCACTGACTCCTCCTCCTCAGAACCCCCAGGCAAGGGGGAACAATCTGGCGTGAGAGTGCTTTTTGCTATTGCAGTATTTATACATGCTTATAATGAAATAGTCAGTACAGCAGGAAATAAAGTAAAAATAAAGTCTCCCTTTGGATGCCTCTCTGTCTCCCCAGCCTACCATTCATTGCTAACTGTAAACCTCTACCTAGGGGGACTGGAGGCTTCTTACTGGCCTTTCTATTAGATGCTTCATCTTTGCGGTCTTCCTAGAATGGGCATGTGTTTCTGCCAGAATCAATATGACCTCCTGAATAAAGAGGCTGCCTTGTTTCCAAGGACAGAAACAGGAAGCCTTTAGCTGGATCTCTGTCCTCCTCCGCCCTAGTGATTCCTGCTCATAATTTTCCTGGCGCTATTTTCAGATGCACAAAACAGGAGGGACTGCATGCTTGTAGCCTCAGTACTGGATGACTAGGATAATCTTTGGGCTTCCCAGGTGGTGCTAATGGTAAAGAACCCGCTTGCTAGTGCAGCAGATGAAAGAGACATGGCTTCGATCCCTGGGTTGGGAAGATTCCCTGGAGGAGGGCATGGCAACTCACTCCAGTATTGTTGCCTGGAGAATTTCATGGACAGAGGAGCCCGGCGAGCTACGGTCCATAGGGTCGCAAAGAGTCTGACATGACTGAAGCGAGTTAGCATGTGTTAGCACACATGCAGGGTAAAAGTTATGTGATCTTGGTGACTAGGAGGCAGGGGTTTACAGGACACTAAACTAGGAGTTTGGAAACCCAGAATCACATTATGATTCGGCTTTGACTAACTGGTTAGGTGACTTGTGGAAGCCACTTACCCTCTGGGCTGTACCATCCTCACAAAGGACAGGAGGTGATCAGACTGCCTGAATTACAGGCAGTAATTCAGGTTAACTCTTCAGGTTAACACTCTATGTATTTCTTGTAAAACAGAGTCTTTGTTTGTCTTTATGGGAATTACTTCTTAAAATGCTTGTGAGTGTGGGGGTAGCAGGGCGAGAAAATGGTGAAGGGGAGGCTCTTTCTTTCTTCACCTACTCCAGTAATTGAAGCGGGTTTTTCATGCCAGATATAAACACAGAGATGGTTGCCATGGATTGGCGGGAGGTGGTCAGGTGGAGATAAATGTAAAAGAGAAGCCAAGGGTGCCCGGCCCCCACTGCCCCAGGAGATGCAGACGCGTGACCTAAAGCCTTTTCCCAGATTTGAGGAAGGCCTTTCTTGCTGGTATTTGCTGTGAGATGCAGCCTCCCATATCATCCTGTTCTTCAATTCTGCAGGCGGAACATCTAACCAGCTGCTACTGGGGCGGGAGCAGCAATGCGCTGGACCGGCATGACCCCAGCCTGCCTTACCTCGAGCAGTATCGCATCGACTTGGAGCAGTTCAAGGGCATGTTTGCTCTGCTCTTTCCCTGGGCCTGCGGGACTCACTCTGACGTGCTGGCCTCCCGCTTATTTCAGTTATTAGATGAGAATGGAGACTCTCTGATCAACTTCCGAGAGTTTGTCTCGGGGCTGAGTAAGGACATGATTGCATGAGTTCGGGGATCGGGGTGGGAAAATCGGGGGAGATGGGGCAGTGAGCGCCATGGTCCTCCTTGCTGCCCTCGGGACCACAGCCCTGCTTTCCTCGGAAGGCAGGGCTTACGGGACAGAGGAGCACATTTTAAGGTTCGCAAGCTGCTTGTAAATCTGTTTTTAGTTAATGGATGTATCATATGATTAAATCATTCCCTTCTACATTAGTTAGTCTCTCAGTTGTGTCCAGCTCTTTGTGACCCCATGGACTATAGCCCTCCAGATTCCTCTGTCCAAGCCATTTCCCAGGCAAGAATACTGGAGCGGGTCGTCATGCCCTTCTTCAGGGGATTTTCACAATCCAGGGATCAAACCCGGGTCTCCCACATTGCTGATGGATTCTTTACCATCTGAGCCACCAGCCCGCAGATAGTCTTCAACACTAGTTAATATACTTTATCATGGGATTTGCAAGAATACCAACTTAAACCCTAAAATCACAGACCATGATAACTTGATGAGGGAAGAAGAAATGTTTGGATATGGATAGCTTTTCCTTGTCCCAACATATATTTATCCTACATATGATATATTTCATAAAATTTTATGAAACATTTCATAATTAAATAAAAGGCTAAATAAAATGAACAGCTCTGCAGTCTAGTGGAAGTCTTTTCTCTCCATTTTGTGGGGAGGAAACGTGTCCATTCCTCAGAATGCCCACCCACACCCGACAAGCATCACGGGTTTCTGCCTGTCAGCCTCGCTGTCTGACCTGTTTACTGCCCTATATTCCACTGGGCTTTTTGCATTAATATTTGAGCAAGAAAAGCAATGTGGTGGTCGAGCTTCACCTGACATGAGGTTGTGGATGTAGCAGGCATTATGTCGGGCTGCCAGAATTAAATAGGAAGGAAAAAAATTTTTTAATTCTAACTGTGCCACACTCTGACGTGGTCCATGCACTTGAAAGTGATATGTGCCCAAGGAAACCTGAAGGCATCAGGCATAGAGCCAACAATGATTCCAGAAAGCACCCTAAATCATAAAGAATAATGACTCAGAAGACTTAAAGGCCAGAGGAAACTGATGGATGTTAAAAAAACAAAAGGGAGTAGGTGAGGTTGCCTTAGATAAGTAAAAACTATTTGCAGAAAGCACTCAGATACTTCATTCAAAAGGGCTACATGGAGGAAACTAGCCTTTATTAAGCGTAGGCACCATTGTGATGCTTTAGAACTTGAACATTATCACTTAATCCACACAGACCTTTGAGGTGATAATAGTATTGATCCATACTTCCCAGGTGGCTCAGTGGTAAAGAATCTGCCTGCCAGTGCAGGAGACATGGATTCAATCCCTGGGTTAGGAAGATCCCCTGGAGGAGGGCTTGGCAGCCATGTATTCTTGCCTGGAGAATCCCATGGACAGAGGAGCCTGGCGGGTTACAGTCCACTGGGTCGCAGAGAGTCAGACGCGACTGAGCAGGAGGACAGAAGCACACAAGAGTGTTGACAGCTAACATTTATACAGCTCTTACTCAGCCAGGCTTTGCTCTCAGACTTTATGTGCATTTCATTCACATAGGGCACACAACTGCAAAGTTGGTGTTTGAACTCAGGCACCCTGGAAGCAGGGTTGTGCTGTTACTATGATGCTTTATTATCTGTGTGCTTACTATTAATATCCTCATTTTCAGTTAAAGAGATGGTGGCTCAGAAAAGTTAAGCAACATGCTAGAACATTTGTTTTTAGCAAGTCAAAATATTTCTGCTATTGAACTGAAAGGCATGGTTTGTCCATGCTGGGCCCAGGATTCAGACAAAGTCTGTCTCAGAAACACATCCTTTTTCATTATTCTGTGCTTAAGGACAGCAAACAATTTTTCTTTTTTTCGGGAAGGAGGAGGTATTGTTTTGTTTTTTTTTTTTCCATTTATTTTTATTAGTTGGAGGCTGATTACTTAACAATATTGTAGTGGGTTTTGTCATACATTAACATGAATCAGCCATGGAGTTACATGTATTCCCTATCCCAATCCCCCCTCCCAAGGTATTGATTTTTAATTACACAAATAATGCATAAATACATTCTGCTTTTTTAAAAAGTGAAAAAAGGAACTTGCATGGTGGTCCAGTGGTTGAGACGCCAAGCTTCCATTGCAGGGGATGCAGGTTTGATCCCCGGGCAGGGAGCTAAGATCCCATGTGCCACACAACATGGCCCAAAAAATAAAAATATAAAAGTGATAAAATTTTTTAAAAGTGAGCAAAATAAAATAAAAATGTGAAACAATCTGGACAAGGCTAGAGACTTTTGACTCTCTCCTGATCTTTTCAGTTCCAAAGTAACTACTTAGTATCACTGGTATCTATCAAAAGGGAGACTTTTTTTTTTAATGACCTATAGACAAAGTAAGAAGACGAAAAAAGAAAGATTCTACAAGTAGAAAGGGGTCAAGGAATTTTTGCCGTAAGCATCTTTGCTGCAACCAGTTTTGCTATACAGCTAACTGGCCATAAGGCCATTTTAACATGAGAGGTAAAAATACTTAGTTGACAGTCACGACTCTAGAAAAGGATAACAAGTCAGTGTTTGTAAATCCTTTGATAAGCATGTCATCCGGTCCCATCACTTCATGGCAAATAGATGGGGAAACAGTGGAAACAGTGACAGACTTTATTTTCTTGGGCTCCAAAATCACTGCAGATGATGACCACAGCCATGAAATTTAAAAACGCTTGCTCCTTGGGAAAAAAAGCTATGCTCAACCTAGACAGCATATTAAAAAGCAGAGACATTACTTTGCCAACAAAAGTCCGTCTAGTCAAAGCTATGGTTTTTCCAGTAGTCATGTATGCATGTAAAAGTTGGACCATAAAGAAAGCTGAGTGCTGAAGAATTGATGGTTTTGAACTGTGGTGTTGGAGAAGACTCTTGAGAGTCCCTTGGACTGCAGGGAGATCCAACCAGTCCATCCTAAAGCAAATCAACTGAATATTCTTTGGAAGGACTGAAGCTGAAGCTCCAGTACTTTGGCCACCTAATGCAAAGAACTAACTCACTGGAAAAGACCCTGATGCTGGGAAAGATTGAAGGCAGGAAGAGAAGGGGACAACAGAGGATGAGATGGTTGGATGGTATCACTGACTTGATGGACATAAGTTTGAGCAAGCTTCAGGAGCTGGTGATGAACGGAAAAGCCTGGAGTGCTGCAGTCCCTGGGGTCAAAGAGTCTGATGTAACTGAGCAACTGAACTGAACTGAACTTGAGCATAGTCATCCCCCTAACTCGTCAAAACTAGAAGTTTACCAAGCTATGGCAGATATAAAAGAAGTGGCTGCTAATTCACAGTGACCTTCAGGAGCACTAATAATTGATTCTTTAGCTAATTCGGGTACGACAGGCTCTCCTCTCAGGCTGTCTTTACCACATTTATAACGTAGTATTAGACATTGATGGCAAAAGGAAAATCAAGCTCCTCCTGCCCCCCGAAAAGAAAATGGTTGTGTGATCCCTGATGGGTATATAAGTTTCTTGAAAATGGTGAAAATACAGTCTGGCTTGGATTAGCTTGCTGAAGGATTTGCAAAAATTGATATCTGGTTTTCCAGTGTAATGTAACCATCAACTAGTAATTTTTTTTATCTTTTATGGCAAAATGACCTTATGGTCCATTTGTTGTGGGGTAAATCTGCTTCTGGCAAAGATATTCAGGATGAAAATATCAATGTGTAGAAAGTGACAGGAATCATTATAAATATATAATTTATTTAAGCTTAGTGAAACCCCAGCGAGGCACATACTCTTCAAAATCTTGCGAAAAGGAAAGAGATGCTTGCAGTCCATGATAGTGAAAATACTGGAGAAGAGTACTTAGGCTTCTTAAAAAGCAGTTGAGTTCTTAGAACAAAGTAAACTCCACCTAAATCGCTGGGAGGAGGCTCAGAGCTGTAGTCAGTCATGCGGGTCGATTACACCTATGGAGATAGACAAGTTGACTAGGAAAGAGAAATTCTGTTCAAGTCTTAAGAAACTAAAGAAAGAATTCTGGAGAAGATGGGTCAGTAATTTCAGTGTCCATCCCTAGAAAGATCCTCCCTGAAATTAGTGAACAGATAAGTCTCTGTGGAGTTAGAGATAAGAGATTACTATCTGAAGGCACACAGTAGCTGGATCTCCTTTTTCAGCAGTATTGCTGGAAGGCAGCTTTTCTAAACAAGCCACACATGTCACAAAGCAGCTGGTCATTGGACGCTGGAGAGTTGGAGGGATATGGAAGCTGGTGATTCCATGACTGAACCCTGCACCCAAAGCATGACAGCCAACGGACAGTTCTCTATACACTGGGCTTGATGTCTAACCTCTGTGGCTGTTGCCTCATCTACAAAGGAATGATTGTCGGGACTGAAAGAATTCAAGTCACATTCCTACAGCAGTGCCTGGCTCAGAAAGTGTTAGTTATTGTTGTCTCTGCAGTGACTAATGAACCCCCTCGTCCTGACTCTGGCAGCGACTTAAACTATCGAGGTAGAGAAGGCACGCTAAATGTGTCAGTTGCCCAAAGCTGGAAGAGACAGGCGGCATGTTGGAGGACAAAAACAAGATGGAAAAAAATGATGGTAGAGGAGGGGATGATTGGTAATAGCACATTGATAGGGATAAATTGGAAGTCTGACATTTTAAAAAAACTATTTATTTATTTATTCGCTTATTTTTGGCTGTGCTGGGTCTTTTGCTGCACTGGGGCCTTCCGTAGTTGTGGCAAGCAGGGGCTACTCTCTTGTTTCAGAGCATGGGCTCTAGGACTGTGGGCTCAGTAGTTGTGACTCAGGGACTTAGTTGCTCAGAGGCATGTGGAATCTTCCCTGATCAGGGATCGAACCCCTTTCCCCTGCATTGGCAAGTGGATTCTTAACCAGTGGCCCACCAGGAAAATCTCCAGAAGTCTTAAATTTTAAGAAATGATTGTAAAAGAACTGTATGTCTGCATATACACACATATAGTGGTTTCAGCTATGCTTTCTAGAGTCAGACAAATCTGAGTTCAAATCCTGGGCTTGCTGTTAATAGCTTATGGCCTTGAACACATTACTTGAGTAAGGCCAGCCTTTTTCATCTGTAAAGTTGGGATAATAACTATGTCCATCTCATAGAATTCTTGGGAGAAGAAAGTGAGATGCACATGGAAAGACGTGAGCATCGGGTTTGTTGTTGCTCAGTTGCTCAGTGCCTGCGGCATGTCAGGCTTTCCTGTCCTTCACAAAGTGAATGGTTCACCAGTGTCTGTCATTATTTTCATGATTAGTGTGAGCTCAATGTGCAGACATTTTGAGCTTTAGTTGACTTTGTAGTCCAAATCCAGACTGAGGATTTGGACTGAATGCAGTACAAACAGCCGAATGCACACTTAGGCTATATTAGGGGAAGAGTCAAGAACAGTTCCACTCTTTTCCATGGTGGACAAGACCCATCTGGAACTGTCTGTCCAGAGGCAGACTGATGGATGCATTAACACATAAGGTAGATGTGAGTAAAAATAAAAAAGAGTATACAAACCATGTCATATGAGAAAGTTGAAAAAGACTTAGAGAGGTGTAGCCTGGGGAATATAAATTTGCCTTAAAAAGATAAGCTGGTAGGAAGCAGGACAGCTGTCCTTAAAATCTGAAGGATTGTTGGCAATGAAGATGGAGTAGACCTATTCTATTTGACTTTCAAGAGTCAGGAAGAGGAATAGTTCTAAATCTTTTGTTGAGTCATAATCTCAGAGATCTGATAAGGACTGTGGAAATTTTCTTCCCCCAAAATGTGAACACATTTTATGTTGTGTGCAGTTCATGAACTTGATGAAACTGAGTCTGCAGGTTAAGGGTCCTGACTGAAGTAAAAATGACAGGAGCACTTTCAGTGTTTCAAGAATTCCCTAGTGGAATGAGATGCCTCTGGTTGGGATGAGCTCCCCGTCTCTGACTCTGAGGATGTTCAAGCAGGTGCTGGATCCTCTCCTATGTGGATGTGGACATGGGAGGTCAGACAAGATAATCCCTGCTGTCCCTGTCAACCAGTCCAGATCCTGTGATTCCTCTTTTCCCAAATCTGATTCATCTTTAACTCTTCACTCTGAGAACATGTGTTTACAAAGGGTTTTCTGATTCCTGAAATACCTATTGACTTTAAGGGAGAAAGTAGCAAGATTCTTTGGATTGAAACAGTGGTAATGTAATGGGAGATGTGTGCATGCTAAGTTTTTCAGTCATGTCCGACTCTTTGTGACCCTATGGACTAGAGCCCACCAGGATTCTCTGTCCATGGGATTCTACAAGCAAGACTACTGGAGTGGGTTGCCATGCCCTCCTCCAGGAGATTTTCCCAACCCAGGGATTGAATCTGCATCTCCTGTGGTTCCTGCATTGCAGGCCGATTCTTTACCACTGAGCCACGGGGGAAGCCCTTAATGGCAGCTCAGTTCAGTTCAGTTCAGTTGCTCAGTCGTGTCCGACTCTTTGTGACCCCATGAATCGCAGCACACCAGGCCTCCCTGTCCATCACCAGCTCCCGGAGTTTACTCAAACCCATGTCCATCGAGTCGGTGATGCCATCCAGCCATCTCATCTTCTGTCGTCCCCTTCTCCTCCTGCCCCCAATCCCTCCCAGCATCAGGGTCTTTTCCAATGAGTCAACTCTGCATGAGGTGGCCAAAGTATTGGAGTTTCAGCTTCAGCATCCGTCCTTCCAGTGAACACCCAGGACTGATCTCCTTTAGGATGGACTGGTTGGATCTCCTTGCAGTCCAAGAGACTCTCAAGAGTCTTCTCCAACACCACTGTTCAAAAGCATCAATTCTTCAGTGCCCAGCTTTCTTCACAGTCCAACTCTCACATCCATACATGACACTGGAAAAACCATAGCCTTGGCTAATGGCTGCTAGGTTAGGCTAAATTGAACTGAAGAAATATTTAAGAGACCAGAAGCAACTAAAAAGGATTTCTAAAATGGATAATTTGAAGCACTCTCAAACATGTATTGAGGGACTTCCCCAGAGGTCCAGTGGTTAAGACTCCATGCTGTCAGTGTAGGGGGCGTGGGTTCAGTCGCTGGTCGGGGAGCTAAGACCCCACATGCTGCAAGGTATGGCACCAAATAAAATTAATTTTTTTTAAAATAGACTTTAGAAACATGTATCAAGATTATTTCTGAACTCTAGCAATTATTGTGATAACTGAGGCCCAGTCACTGGACTTTTCTTACCAGTAGTGTTGTTAGTTGCTCAGTCATGTCCGACTCTGCGACCCCATGCACTGTAGCCCCCCGGCTCCTCTGTCCATGGAATTTTCCAGGCAAGAATACTGGAATGGGTTGCTATTCCCTTCTCCAGGGGATCTTCTTGACCCAGGTATCAAACCCACATCTCCTGCAGCGTCAGGCAGATTCTTTACCATCTGAGCCACAAGGGAAGCCCTTCTTATCAGTAACACTCATTTAATTTGTGCCAGCTGCTAGCCTCAGAACCTTTAATTCTCACCTTTCGTGGGTCCTGATGCCAAGACCACTGGTAGAATCTTCTGATTTGTCATCCTGCCTCCTAGAGGGGAAACTGAGATCCAGAGAGGTTCACTGTCCCAAGGGCACATGGTATCCATACAAAGACTTTGAAACCAGACACCCTCATTCCAGAGCTTTTAACACCAATCCCACACAGTATCTGGGTTCAGCTTGTAAAAGGTTGATGCTTCAGGGGGACACTAAGCCTCGGCGTGGGGCGGGGCTATTGCGAGCACACACAGTACATTTCATGTTGGTACTTGTGTGACCTCTAGGTGCTGCATGCCATGGGGACCTCACCGAGAAGCTCAAACTCCTATACAAAATGCACGTCCTCCCGGGTAAGTGAGCCGCGCAGAGCAGCACGTGTACCTGTGACCCTGGCCTGGCTTCATGTCTCTTTTGGTGTGACCTGTTTGCCTCTTCTTTGATATATAAAAATCACTCATTGATCACTAAGAACAAACTGAACAGTATTATTGACAGGAGTTCCTGAATCAGCAGGTGCTTGGTTCAGTGGTCATTCATTTGTCCAAAGTGTGAGCTGCAGTAATAGAGCAGACTTTTGCAAGAGAACGAGTAAATAGCACTTGGTAACTCCTGGAATCCTGAGTCTAGGGAGAGCAGTCTTAACCTCTGACAGAGACAGTGGGAAATATAGGGAGGTTTTTGAGTTCAGGTTTAAACTGGGTTGGCCACCAGTTGGAAATACCTGGCAAATACTAAAAAGAAAGGGAGGGAGGGAAACAGAAAAAGGAAGAGAGGGAGAGAGAGAGAAAGTAGAGAGAGAGGGAAAGAGGGAGGAAGGAAGGGGAATTGGCTCTAAGGATAGAGATAGGATAAAACTATAGATTTGGAAATAATCTAAAATTTGGTTCCTTAAAGCATCATCCCATAGGATTTAGGAAAGTTTCCTAAAAAGGAAACCATGAAGGGACCTTTGGTGAGGGGTTGTTATAAAGGAAGATGGAGTTTTAACGTTTCTGAGGCTGCGGGTATTCCAGGCCCCTCACTGCTGTGCCTCCCCTGTGTCGCTTCTTTAAGAATTAAAGCACACTTTCAGAGCCACAGCCCTGCCGACATGAGAATTGTCTCTCCTCTCTCTCCAGAGCCATCCTCCGATCAAGACGAGCCAGATTCTGCTTTTGAAGCGACTCAGTACTTCTTTGAAGACATCACCCCAGAATGCACACATGGCAAGTGACTTTTCCTCCTCAGGGCCGCTCTGCTTTTGTCCTACAGAGCCCTCCGTTGTTGGAAACCAAGTTGCCTCTAAAGCTAGGCAGCCAAAGAAATATATGAATGCAGTTGCCTAAGAGGCTATTTTCTTTTCAGAGTTTTGAACTTCAGTAGCTGCTGGGGTCAGGAAGATACCCTGGGGAAGGGCATGGCCTCCCACTCCAGTATTCTTGCCTGGAGAATTTCCCCATGGACAGACAAGCCTGGTGGGCTACAATCCATGGGGTCACAAAGAGTCAGATATGACTGAAGCAACTTAGCATGCATGCAACTGCTGGGGAGTGGGTACTTTAGCCCATCAAAAGGACCATGTATGCTCGGGACTTCCCTGGTGGTCCAGTGGCTAAGACTTCGTGCTCCCAAGAAGACAGCGTGGGTTCAATCCCTGGTCAGGGAACTAGATCCCATATGCCACAACTAAAGATCCTTCATGCTGTAACTAAGACCCAATTGCAGCCAAATAAACAAATAAAAGAAAAAGCATGACCTGTAGAGCATTAACTTTGCTCCCCTCTCCTTGATAGGGTGAGACATTCATTAAAAATGTTATCCTATTGTTATGCTGCTCTTCAAAATCAAGACTAGCATCTCTATCAGATATGCTGCTCTGTAACAGATGTCAGCAAACTTTGGACCAAATCTGGCCCACCACCTCTTTGTATGGCCTGTGACAATATAAAATGTATATTAAAAAATTAATATAAACTGTAAATGTTACTGCGAAGAAATAAAGTTTTATTGGAACAGAGCCAGGAACACGGCCAAGCTCATTCAATTATATATTGCCTATGGCTGTTGTCACACTGCAGTGATAGAATTGCCTCGCCATCTGGCCCTTCACAGAGAAAGTTTGCCGACCCCTGCTCTGTGTGGTTGTGAGGTCTACCCAGCCATGATCTGGCTTACTGGGGATACCTCCAGATTAATATGTGAACTTGTTCTGTTTTGCCATGTGTGAATCTCAGCAGCATCTTTCCACTTGCTGCTGCCATGCATTATTTACTTCATCATTATGGAAGCTTCCTGACTTCACCTGTTCGAAAGCCAGCATGAGTTGTTCCTGGGTCCTTTTGCCTCTTAAATCTCCCAGCCCCTAAGGAAGCACAGCTCAGACCTGCTTTTGAACTGTGAGCACCCGAGTGATTGAGTGGAGAGGAGTGGGAGGCAGACGCAGTCTTCTTATTGACATGCATGTTACGGGCAGGAGCTCTGGTCAGGATGCTAGCTCTGTCTAGATGACCTCCAGCAGCTTCGTGTATCTGGGAGCCTCAGGGTCCTTGTGGGAACATGGGAGATGAGAGCTGTCACCTTGGGCGCAGTAAGGATTTAGTGAGCTAATGTAGTAAACCTTCCAGCATAGTGCTTTATCCAACAGCACTCTTCACATTGCCAGCAGTCAACCCCACCTAGAGGTGTTTCTGTTTTCTCTTACACATGCTAGTAAATCTGCGGGTTTATCATGTAACGTTCTCCTTTTTTTCTTTCTAACTCTCTTGGCAGTGGTTGGATTGGACAGCAGAAGCAAACCCAGTGCAGATGATGGCTTTGTTACCGTGAGCTTAAAGCCGGACAGAGGTACAGACTTCCTCTCCTCTGTGTTTCCTTTACTGCTGGCTCAACGGTTGCTTCTTGACCTTTGAACACTAATTTCTTGGCATTTGGATTTTAGGAAAGAGGGCGAATTCTCAAGAAAATCGTAATTATCTGAGACTCTGGACTCCAGAAAATAAATCCAAAGCAAAGAATGCAAAGGATTTACCAAAACTGAATCAGGTGAGTGCTAAACAGCACGATTCATTCGTTTTAAGCCTTGAGGCTCTGTTTTCAGTCATAGATAAATGTAGAGTAAGTACCCCTCAAGGATAATGGTAACTCAGAGCACTTATTTAGTACCTGTTCAGATGTATTTTGTGCATGCTTTTGTGCATTTACAGTATGCTCTGTTATGAGGAAATGACCGCCTCAGAAAATGGGAACCACAAAATACTGTGGTGTTTTGAGATTACATGCATTCTCAGCCCGGTCATTAAAAATACCCTCGGAGGAAAGGGAACCCTCCTACACTGCTGGCGAGAATGTAAATTGGTACAGCCACTAGGGAGAACAGTATGGAGGTTCCTGAAAAAAATTAAAACTAGAACTCCCATAAGACCCTGCAATCCCACTCCTGGGCATATATCCAGAGAAAAACATCATCCATAAGGATATATGCACCACGCCAGTGTTCATGCAGCACTGTTTACAGTAGCCAAGACATGAAAGCCACCTCAGTGTGCATCAACATAGGAGTGGGTAATGAACATGTAATACCTATATACAGTGGAATATTGCCCAGCCATTGAAAAGAATGAAATAAGGCCATTTGCAGCCACATGGATGGACCTGGAGACTGTCATACTGAGTGAAGTAAGTTGGACAGAGAAGGAGAAGTATCATATGACATGCCTTATATGTGGAATCTAAAAAGAAATGACACCGATGTACTTACTTACAGAACAGAAAGAGACTCACAGACTGAGAAAACAAACTTACAGTCACCGGGGTGGTGGGGGCAGGAGGAGGGTGGGATAGTTAGGGAGTTTGGGATGGTCTTGGACACACTGCTACATTTAAAATTGATCATCGACAAGGACCTACTGTATAGCACATGGAAATCTGCTCAATGTACTGTGGCAGCCTGGGTGGGAGGGAAGTGTAGGGGAGAATGGATACATGTACATGTATGGCTGAGTCCCTTTGCTGTTCCCCTGAAACTGTCACAACATTGTTAATCAGCTGTACCCTAATACCAAAAAAAAGTTAAAAAAAAAAAAAACCCTCAGAGGGACTTCCCAGACAGTCCAGTGGTTAAGCACCCCAGCAGTGCTTCCTATGCAGGGGACACAGATCCAATCTCTGATAGGGGAACTAAGACCCATAAGCCTCATGGTATGCCAAAAAACATTTTAAAATACCATCAGATATTCAAAAGACAACCTGATGCCGTTTTCAAACCACTGTACCCAGCTATAAATAGGTGTCTGACCTTTCCCCCTTTAACAGCTGAAATATAATGAGTAAGATAAGACAATGTAAATAATTTAAAATACAGGATGAAAATGCTGTTTATTAACAGAAGAACAGATAAATTATCTGGGTGGAGGTAGAAAACATGACTTCTCGCCAGGGACACCAGCAGATGTGTCAAGGGAGAGAGGATTTGAGCTGAACTTGGAAAACTTGGGCCATATGCTGAAGTGTATAGGCATGAAATAAGATGAGGTCTACAATTAACTTAAAAGTCTGCAAGAAAGGATAAAAGAGTTAATTAAACATTTGTATAACAGAGGAACCACTAATAAAGAGACCTGTAGTTGTGACCAAGAGGAAATCTATTTGCATCTCCCTCTGCAGGTTCAAATCTTGCTTGACGACAGTCATAAAGCTAGTGGTAAAGAGCCCACACGCCAATGCAGGAGACATAGGAGATGCCAATCAACCCCTGGGTCAGGAAGATCTCCTGGAGGAGGAAATGGCAACCCACTCCAGTGTTCTTGCCTGGAGAATCCCATGGACAGAGGAGCCTGGTGGGCTACAGTCCATAGGGTTGCAAAGAGTCAGACATGACAGAAGCGACTTAGCACACACACAATAAAGAGAGTAAATCCACCGTCCATCTCTTTAAACCTGCACATCCATCCACCCTACAATAGGACTTCTCTGGGATCTTTCAGGAGCCCTGATATTAAGTGGCCTTTCAGTCCACCTGGGTCCTGGCTCTGTACTCCTATGAGGTGGTCATGGTCTTGTGTTTTCCTCCATCACTTTTCAGGGGCAGTTTATCGAGCTGTGTAAGACGATGTACAACATGTTCAGCGAGGACCCCAACGAGCAGGAGCTGTACCACGCCACGGCCGCGGTGACCAGCCTCCTGCTGGAGATTGGGGAAGTGGGCAAGCTCTTCGCCCCGCAGCCTGCCAAGGAGGGCGGGGGCGGGGGCAGCGGGCCGGCCAGCCACCAGGGCCTCCCCGGCAGCGTGCTCTTCCCCAGGAAAGGGCCGAGCCCGCCTTACGCGCCCGAAGCCGTGGAGCCCCTGCCGGCCAGCTTGGCCGGGGCCGGCGAGGAGCACTCCCTGGGCGGACAGATGGAGGACATCAAGCTGGAGGACTCCTCGCCCCGGGACCACGGGGCCTGCTCCTCCATGCTCATCTCGGACGACGACACCAAGGACGACAGCTCCATGTCCTCTTACTCGGTGCTGAGCGCCGGCTCCCACGAGGAGGACAAGCTCCACTGCGAGGACATCGGCGAGGACACGGTCCTGGTGCGCAGCGGCCAAGGCACAGCGGCGCTGCCCCGAAGCACCAGCCTGGACCGGGACTGGGCCATCACCTTCGAACAGTTCCTGGCCTCTCTCCTGACCGAGCCAGCCCTGGTGAAGTACTTTGACAAGCCCGTGTGCATGATGGCCAGGATCACCAGTGCTAAAAACATCCGGATGATGGGCAAGCCCCTCACCTCCGTCAGTGACTATGAGATCTCGGCCTTGTCCGGCTGAATCCGGCGCCTTCTCTGGGGACCGGGAAGGTGGGGGGCGGGGGGCGGGGGGCGGGGTCTTTTTTATGTTCTGTGTTGGGGCTTCAGTCTTCCTTTTAAATTAAATATTTATTAGTACCCGGCTTGAAGCCTAGTGTTTTCATAATATAATACAATGAAAAGCTGTTGGAGAAATACTTAAACACCTCCATGTAGGTACAGTACCGCTCTCTTGTTGGGGGTAGGGGGATTTACCAGAATGCAGTGAATTCCAAAAAAAAAGATGACTCTGTCTGTGATATGTGTGTATTTATAACTTCTTAATCTTGCTGTTGAGCTGTATACATAGTGCTGTTTAAATGCTAAATAAGGCAGCAGCCGTTGTGTATTTGGGCTTTTTAAATAAAACTAAGAACCATGAGGAAAGTGAGATGCCGCAGAGAGAATGTTCTTAAATGGAATAGGCATTGTCAGCTGGGGTAAATTCTATACCCTTTAAGGGAGCATTAAAGCTATTTTTTAAGATTTGAAATATATTTAAAAGTCCTCTATTCAAAAAGCATATTCTGCAGGCATTCTCAATTGAGGTTCTAAGCAGTTAGGAAAGTATAAGTGATTTTTATGTGATGCCAGAATAACACCTCTATTCAATTTGGGCAAATACCGGACCAAATTGCATTGAAAAACTGATGATTTAAGTCAGCTGGCCGGAATTCAGGGGGAAATGAACAGTCTTTTGTGACAGAGAATCTGAAAGTGGCAACAGAAATGATAAAGAGGACCCAGAATTTGGGGGGTGGGGTGGGGGTGGGGGAAGAGTAAAAGTACTGATGCTTCTTATACTGAATTTTCAGCTTCTTGTTACTCATTGCAAATAAAGCAAAAAATAAAACAATAAACTTTACCATTTCCGTGCTCTCCATAGGTTCAAGAAATCATACCGTGTATCACATATGACCATCTTTCCAGTTAAATCAATGTAGAGATAATGTAAAATGAAAAAAAATCTGCAAGATCACATAACTGAATGTGTAAAGCGGAACTTGACACTTTATATAAGAGAATAGTAAGCTCTATTTACTGAATGGACTTGGAAATGAAACTCGCACCTGCACTTTGTATTTTCGCTTCTTTTTTATTACTGTTACAGTTTTGTCTTTTACAGATGTTGGAGTTCTTTTCTTCTTATTGTTGAATTCATAATCATGATCACATTTTCTTTGCATATTCAGAATATTCCTTCCAATACATTCCTTTATTTTAGAATCCATTGTGTCTTTATTTTTAGCTGTTGCTGCTGTTTTTAATTTTGTTTACAGAATGATTTTTTTAAACTGTCCAGTGATGTAGTGTTAACCTCAAATAGGATAAATGTGAACAAATAAAATACATGGATACTCAAATGTGGCTTTTATCTCTGTACTTCCGTTCCTGTCTATGGTGATAGCATTATTCTTTTGAAAACTTTGCAGGGGAAATTATGTTAGACAACCATTTTGGCTAAGGAAACAAATTTTTATAGGCAAATATTTTGAGATAAGAAATACACACACACACAAAAAAAAAGAAATACAGTTTGGGGAATTCCCTGGTGGTCCAGTGGTTGAGAATTGGTTCTCACTGTGGGGGCACAGGTTCAATACCTGGTATGGGAACTAAGATCCTGCAAGATGCACAGAATGACCAAGAAAAGAAAGAAAAGAAATATACTGTGTAATGGTGTGCACATGAATGTAAAATAAGGAAGAGAATCACTATTGGCCATTTAATTTTCTAACTCATCCTACATAAGTGATGAAAGGGTGAAAATCCCTCCATAACACCATTTGGTATGTATTTCATTGAGTAGTCACTTGATTTGACTCTTAGGTTTTTATACATTGTTCTATCATTGTTCCTATCACCTAAAGATACCTCGGGAAATAAGTTTGTAAAGTCTGGATACTCTTATCTCCAAAAATCAAAGGTGGGTATCAGAGGCAAATGATCATGTGTTTAAATGTGTAGCCCTCAATAAGTGAGTTTAATAGAGTTTTGCCATGAGAATGTGCTGGTCATAGCGAACACCCTCTTCCCACAACGCAAGAGAAGACTCTACACATGGACATCACCAGATGGTCAATACCGAAATCAGATTGATTATATTCTTTGCAGCCAAAGATGGAGAAGTTCTATACAGTCAGCAAAAACAAGACTGGGAGCTGACTGTGGCATAGACCATGAACTCCTTATTGCCAAATTCAGACTTCAATTGACGAAAATAGGGAAAACCACTAGACCATTCAGGTATGACCTAAATCAAATCCCTTACAATTATTCAGTGGAAATGACAAAATAGATTCAAGGGATTAGATCTGATAGACAGAATACCTGAAGAGCTATGGACAGAGGTTTGTGACATTGTACAGGAGACAGGGATCAAGACCATCCCCAAGGAAAAGAAATGCAAAATGGTTGTCTGAGGAGGCCTTACAAATAGCTGTAAATAGAAGAGAAGCGAAAGGCAAAGGAGAAAAGGAAAGATATACCCATTTGAATGCAGAGTTCCAAAGAATAGCAAGGAGAGATAAGAAAGCCTTCCTCAGTGATCAGTGCAAAGAAATAGAGGAAAACAACAGAATGGGAAAGTCTAGGGGTCTCTTCAAGAAAATTAGAGATACCAAGGGAACATTTCATGCAAAGATGGGCACAATAATGGACAGAAATGTTATGGAACTAAGAGTACAGAAGATATTAAGAGGTGGCAAGAATACACAGAAGAACTGTACAAAAAAGATCTTCATGACCCAGGTAACCACAATGGTGTGATCACCAACCTAGAGCCAGATATCCTGGAATGTGAAGTCAAGCAGGCCTTAGGAAGCATCACTACTAACAAAGGTAGTGGAGGTGATGGAATTCCAGTTGAGCTATATCAAATCCTAAAAGATGATGCTGCGTAAGTGCTGCCCTCAATATGCCAGCAAATTTGGAAAACTCAGCAGTGCACACAGGACTGGACAAGGTCAGTTTTCATTCCAATCCCAAAGAAAGGCAATGCCAAAAAATGCTCAAACTATCACACAATCGCACTCATCTTACACGCTAGTAAAGTAATGTTCAAAATTCTCCAAGCTAGGCTTTAAGAGTACGTTAACTGTGAGATTTCAGATGTTCAAGCTGGATTTAGAAAAGGCAGAGGAACCAGAGATCAAATTGTCAACATCTACTGGATCACTGAAAAAGCAAGAGAGTTCCAGAAAAACATCTACTGCTTTAGTGACTATCCAAAGGCTTTGATTGTGTGGACCACAACAAATTCTGGAAAATTCTGAAAGAGATGGGAATACCAGACTATGTGACCTGCCTCTTGAGAAATCTGTATGCAGGTCAAGAGCAATAGTTAGAACTGGACATGGAACAACAGACTGGTTCCAAATAGGAAAAGGAGTATGTTAAGGCTGTATATTGTCACCCCACTTATTTAACTTCTATGCAGAGTACATCATGAGAAACACTGGGCTGGATGAAGCACAAGCTGGATTCAAGATTGTCACCACCCTTAAGACAGAAAGCAAAGAAGAACTGAAGAGCCTCTTGATGAAAGTGAAAAAGGAGAGTAAAAAGGTTGGCTTGAGGTTCAACATTTAGAAAACTAAGATCATGGCATTTGGTCCCATCACTTCATGCCAAATAGATGGGGAAACAATGGAAACAGTGACAGACTTTATTTTTGGGGGCTCCAAAATCACTGCAGGTGGTGACTGAAGCCATGAAATTAAAAGACGCTTGCTCCTTGGAAGAAAAGTTATGACCAACCTAGACAGCATATTAAAAAGCAGAGACGTTACTTTGCCAACAAAGGTCCGTCTAGTCAAAGCTATGGTTTTTCCAGTAGTCATGTATGGGTGTGAGAGTTGGACTATAAAGAAAGCTGAGCACCGAAGAATTGATGCTTTTGAACTGTGGTGTTGGAGAAGACTCTTGAGGGTCCCTTGGACTTCAAGGAGATCCAACTAGTCCATCCTAAAGGAAATCAGTCCTGAATATTCATTGGAAGGACTGATGTTGAAGCTGAAACTCCAATACTTTGGCCACCTAATCTGAAGAACTGACTCATTAGAAAAGACCCTGATACTTGGAAAGATTGAAGGCAGGAGGAGAAGGGGACGACAGAGGATGAGATGGCTGGATGGCCTCACTGACTCAATGGACATGAGTTTGAGTAAACTCTGGGAGTTGGTGATGGACAAGGAGGCCCGGCATGCTGCAGTCCATGGGGTTGTAAAGATTCGGACATGACTGAGCAAGTGAACTGAACTGAGATAAGTGAAAGGAGCCAGAATTTTCCATTATCATTGAGAACAGAATTATAAATGAACAGTGCATCACCCTGAAACATGTTTCTCTTGATGCTCTTTTGTAATACTGTCCTTATTTGTTCAAGCACCTCACAATGGTTTTATTCCAGTGTCAATATATTATACAATGGCAGTTTCTAGTCTGTTTGCTTCTAAAGGCTGCATGTGGAGGAGCCCTGAGCCTTTAAGTTGGTTATTGCGAGTTCAATTTATGAGCCCCTCTTGTTAGCGTCTTCCTTCTCTGGCCTCCAGAAAGCAAACAGGGTGTTTCAAACAGCATTACACTTCATCTCAAGTTTCTAATGGTTGTGTTATGTCTTTTTAGTATTTCTATGGATTATTCTCTTTGATTTCAGTGTATTATGAGTGACCATCTTCTTTAAAGGTCACTTCCCCTGTTATGCTAATAACTTCTACAGCATCCCCAATGATGGACTCAATGTCTCTATGGTAATAGACTTAATCTGGCATCCCAGTGGGCTTCCAGCTCCAGAGCACTGGGCATCGGCCTTAGTGAAGCTTTCAGATTCATGTGTGTGTGCTAAGTCGCTACAGTTGTGTCCAAGTCTTTGCGACCCTATGGACTATAGCCCACCAGGCTCCTCTGTCCATGGGATTCTCCAGGCAAGAACACTGGAGTGGGTTGCCATTTCCTCCTCCAGGGGATCTTCCCAACCCAGGA